TCATCGGCGAAATCCAAGTCTTCTAGGTTCTTTTCCGTCGTCCAGTGTATCCCCCTCTTCTCGCTGCCTACTGTTTGCTGCATGATCCAGTCCACCACAATCAAGAATATCATGGGGGATAGTAGGCAACCTTGTTTCACTCCTGTCTTCACTTCAAAGGCATCACTGAGCTTCCCATTGTGGATTACTTGGCATGTAGCATCTTCATATAGTTGTTGAATGAGGCGGATAAAGGTTTGCGGTACTCCGTAGTATTGAAGCAGTTTCCAAATTACTTCTCGGTCGACGCTGTCAAAGGCCTTCTCAAAGTCGATGAAGTTGAGGTGGAGAGGTGATTGCCATTCTATGCTCTGTTCTATGATGATGCGAAGCGTTGCAATTTGGTCTGCACATGATTTGTACTTCCTGAAGCCTGCCTGTTCCGGTCGTAGTTTTGAATCCAGTGCATCCCTTAGCCTCTCCAGGATGATGCGGCTTAATATTTTACTTGGGGTGGACAGGAGAGTGATTCCGCGCCAGTTCTTGCAAGCACTGAGGTCTCCCTTCTTCGGCAGTTTGACAAGGTAACCCTTCTTCCAATCGTCAGGTACCTTCTCTTCCTTCCACACCTTCTGCAATAGTGGTGTGAGCATGGCCGCTGTTGTCTCTGCATCTGTTTTCAGTGCTTCTGGCGGTATTCCATCTGGTCCTGCTGCTTTCCCGCATTTCAGTAGCTTTATGGCGTTCAGGACTTCCATTTTCGTTGGGGGATTAATGTTCACTTGTAATTCAGCGGCTGCAGGTGGTATTTCTGGACGAAGTGCAGGTGGTGGTCGATTCAAGAGCTTCTTGAAGTGGTTGGCCCATTGTTTCCTCTGTTTCTCTTCTTTCGTAATTAAATTTCCTTCTTCATCTTTTATTGGTTTCATCTGTGTTGGTCTATTCCCTGATAGCAACCTGGTTATTTGATACAATGTCGTCAGGTCTCTCTTACCTGCAGCCTGTTCTGCTTCACTTGCCAGTGTTTCGTAGAAGTGTCTTTTGTCTTTGCGTGCACTCTTCTTCACTTCTTTGTCCAGTGTTTTATACATTGTGCTCAGTTCCTCTTGTCGTTGAGCATCCTTGCACTGGTTTATCTTCTGCTTCACCATCCTCCTCTCCTCTATCAGCTTCCAGGTATCCGTCGAGATCCATTCCTTGTCTTCTTTCTTCTTCCTTCCTAATACTGTTGTGCAGGTTTCTTTCCACATAGCTTTCAAAGACTTCCAGTGTTCTTCCACACAGGTTTCTTCAGGGATGTCCCTCGACGTCTCCCATTTTGTCTTGATGGCTGCCATGAAGATCTCCTTTGTAGTTTCATCCTTCAGTTTCCGAGTGTTGTACTTGGGTTGAGGTCTATCACCAGCTTCCTTGAAGGCCTTTAACTTGATTTGGAAGGTTCCTTGCACTAGGTAGTGGTCTGAACCTACATCTGCTCCTCTTCTTGACCTTGTGTTAAGTAGACTGCGTCTCCATTTTCTTGAGATTGAGATAAAGTCGATTTGATTTTTAGTGTGTCCATCTGGTGAAATCCATGTCGCTTTGTGGATATCTTTGTGCCTGAACACACTGCCTCCAATCACCAAATCGTTGAATGCGCAGAATTCTGCAAACAATTCTCCATTCTCATTCATTTCACCTAGTGCCTCTCGACCCATGGTTAGTTCTCTTCCCGTGTTGTCCCCTCCCAGTTTGGCATTCATGTCGCCCATTAGAATTTTGATATCGCCAACTGACGTCTTGTCCAGTGTTGATTGAAGTTGTCTGTAGAATTCCTCCTTTTTCTCTTGCTCTGCATTATTTGTAGGTGCATAACATTGTATGATTGTGACCTTTCTTCCTTTTGAGTTGAATCTTGCTGTCATGATCCTGGAGGAGATTGGTTCCCACTGCATGAGAGCCTTCGATGCTCTTGAGGACATCATGATAGCCACTCCCTCAGTGTGCTCGTGGTTGGCGTCTGGGTGACCGGAGTAGATTATTGATTCTCCAGTTGACAGTTTGGAGAGTCCACTCCCATTCCATCTGCTTTCGCAAATCCCAAGCACTTCGATGTTATACCTTCTCATCTCCTTTGCAATCTGGGCTGCCTTACTGGGTTCAAACATCGTGCGGACATTCCATGTCCCCACGTTTACTTTCGCTTTCATCGAGAGAAGACACATCGGCCAATTGGCTTCCCGAAGGCTTTCACCAACTGGCGTCATTTCGCCTCTCCGATTCCAGCGGGGAATAAGTTTGTTTTCATTTTTTATATTTTGTTTGTGCTTTGAAGTTTCTTTAGCGGTTAGATTTGTTTTACGGGGTAGGGTTGCTAGCCCTATGTCCAACCTTCCCTATATATATATATATATGTTCGCTAATATGTGCTGTTATTTGTTGAACAGTTGAGAAACTTCAGTAATTTCATGCACGAATTTCCCTTGATGAATTTGCAGACATCAAGAACATCAATGGTAGCAGATAAATTGAAAGAATAGAAAGAAGGGTATACCGTAGATTTCCTGAATACATTCTGAAGATCCCTTTCAACTGAGGGGGAAATAGCACTCTGAGCAGCACAATTACTCGACGTATGATCATCGCTGGATATCAGTCAGACGTCTTCAATTCTGTCAACATCATAAACAAGCAAAAACTAGTTGAAGTCTCCGAAAGTTTACTGAGGTCATGATCATCAAACGCCTAGAACCTGACTTACGCTTTTGAAAAAGTAGCTTTTGTCAGCCTATGTCTACCTTGGTAAGCCTTGGTGACTGTTATTTGCTTACATCATCCTTTATCAACTCTAGACGTTTATTCCTTCAGTCATAATTAGTTGCATCTTTTGACTAAGTGAGCTTAAATCAATATTTTTCATCCTTTGCTTGTGTATCGTGTGACTTACCTAATTTTATGATGCCATTTATAAACCTTCCTTGAATTCATCTTTATAACTGAACTTTACAACTATTTTTGTCTGTCCTACCCATTAACCGAAATTCTATTTTCTTTCTTTCCAATAAAACTATATATTACTATATTCGAGATTGTAGGCAGTTGACAAGACACGACAGAAATAAAATGGATCCTTTCTATCTTGTTCTCACTATTATTCTTGCATTTTATCAAATTTCAGTTAATTTCTAAATTATAACAAAGATATTTCAATGTTATCATCATTGGGAGTTGTACGTTTTTTGTCAATGGCAAGAAAATAGTTGGACTAAACAAGATAAAAAATAGTGAATTCTAAGAACATGGTGACAGTAGAATAGCCTGGTAGGAAAGTAAAACAGTGGAAGCTGAAAATAGGTGATGATATTACAAGATAAGTGCTGAAATGATGTAATCCAGGAGAAAGCACACATTTCTACATATAAACATATCCGAACAGAAGTCCAAAAAATAGCTGTTCTTAAAAAATTCAATCAGTTGGTCAGCTGGTGCCTAAGAATTTCTCCAGTATATATATACTTCCACAACTAAACATGGTTGCATAGTAAAAGAAATCTTATTTATATGTTGTTTGCGAAAATCAAAAGAATTTGCACGAATGAACTGTACAGACCTTGAGAACGATTTTTAAACTTAAACAACATATCATAAGGAAGACTTTATTTATGCATGTTGATTGCATAGCTGGTACCACCATATAGATTCTAAATTATCGACCATCTAAGTCACTGTGGAAGTGAATGACTCGAGGTTGTGTTGAGAAATGACTGTTGCTTTGAGCAACTTCATCGTGTGTTTGCAAGTTAACTTGCTCCTGCATAGCTGCTAATATAATCCATGTAAAGGGTGCACTTTCCAAACATCTTTAAACACTTTACACTATGACTGCAGAGGAGAGATTGTACTTCAGTCATTAATTAGATCCTTGAACATTTGATCAACTCTCGATATACGGCTGTATTAGAAACCCTTTCTCAATATTATCTATAGAGTCAAACGGAAATGTTCAACAGGAATGTGATTCGGAACTTGTGTGAGACAAGAGCATTAGGAACTCATGAATTTGAGCCTGATTTCTGCGTATAGAGGGAATATGTTGGATATGTTGCCTTGCTATGGTCTTAATACTCGTATCACTTTCATAACTTCATCATAAGTAATCAGTTTACTAGTATCGCTGAGTTGGCACTTCCTCTTTTATGACTTAGTGGTTATATTTTGCGTTCAGGATTTTTAGTCAGTTGAAATTGTAGGGTTTCAAGTGTGGTTAAATGCTAAAAAGAGTAGCAGCAAATTATTCATCACAACGTTTGCGGATATTATGATTTGACAGGTCATATATAGGTTACTCTATTCACAGAAATCATATTTTCAAGACAGAAGTATAGAAAAAAAAGCAAAGTATCTGGTAACCTACTGAGACTCCCAAGGGCGACAAATGTCGAACATGTAAACATAGGTAGGAAGATTATCTTATCATTTTGACTATCTGAGATACCCATGGTTTGGCAGACTAGTATTTGTACTGTTTGATGATTGAAGGTGAAATGAAAATTCGAACAGAGGCCGGATTCGAACCAGCGACTACCGGGATAGCCAGAAGTGGCCATCGTGACTTGGTGGCCTAGTGGATAATGCTGTGGCGTTTAAAGAGGTATTTCTCGAGTTCGAATCCCGGTGAGAATAACATCGCTCACTGGGAGGCAGGTACATCCAACTGACAAGTCCCAAATGGGACGAAATGCACATCCTGGATTCCACTGCTAACCACTAACCATTATTACTATAACTAAAACACGGGTAATATCGAGGCATCCGCACAGCAGCCCATATGCCAATAGAGACCGATGAATTCGGTCCAATCAACGACGGTATAATACAAACAATTATACTGTCTTATCATTGGTTAGACGTATGGCTTTCCATTTGTAGGCCAACAGGTTACAAAATCTGAAGGGTCTGAGCGTGAAGAAACACGTGATAGACAAAATAAAACCTTAACATATACATTATCATGCACATGTTTATAGGAAAGTAAATGTTTATCTGATTCATTTTCAATGCAAACCAATTGTTGGTTGCATGATAATTATTGTTTTCAACTAACAACAACTTTGACTACCTTATTTTGATCAATAACTACTAGTTGACTATTTCATATAATACCTTTCAAAGTTTATAGCCTGTCATTCTCTTAATTTCTATTAGTACAAAATTCATGACACTTATAATTGGATTTATGACCAGTGTCAATGGATTAGTTATTTGTTAATTAAGATAGTTTTCAACAAAATTACAGCTAACATGATAAAGATCATTCATATTTTTTTGGGTGTTTCAAACAAGAGGTGAACACAGGATAGTTGTGATATAATTGTCCAGTAAACTTTGGAATATCGGTATGGTAAACTATCAACGTATATTTTGACTACATGTTCTATTAATGATACTGTTGATTGATGATTTTTGGAACAAGAAATCCTTTTTATTATCATAAAAATACATGATAGTCTGTTTGGTATTGAAAGATAATAGTTCGGTATACTTTTTTTGTACTTTATGAGCTGTATGCATTGCTTTCACCATCGTTTTAGGCGATAACACTTGCAGTATCCTCAGTATAAGAGAATCAGTTCGACTAATTGAATTTGGCGGTTACTACACTTACCTGTTCGAAGACTGGTTTCTACAATGCTAGAAACTTGTAGGTGAAGTTATTTTATCGATCTTACATTAGTTTATGATATATTTATCTTGATGACAAACGGTAGGATCCTCTTTGGAACTCGGCAGCTGGATGTACTTGCACCCCATAGAGTTATATTGTTCCCACTGATATTCAAAACTATACACACATCACTTCAAACGCTAAGGCGTTATCCACTAGGTTTCTGGATCACAACAGCCACGTCTTATGCAACGAATATCAGTTTTTGTTATAATACTTGTAATTTCCCGTCGCTATAAAGGGTCGTGTTTGGCGACCGCCTAGGAGCCCATTTACCAACAATGACCCAGAAGTTCCACCCAGTAAAGTAACGGGAGATCACAGGTGTCGAACAACAATCGGATTAGTGTAGTTTATTTGATATAACACACAGTGTTGCAATATCATTTACCGTCTTCATTGACTGTAACATCAAATGAATTAATCTAACATGGAATTATACTCTGGCACGCTGCCCTGATTTTAGTCTCATATAAGTTGTACGTAGCACATCATCTACAACAAGAATAAGCGGAGTAAGCGAACTTTAGACCAATTGTGGTTGATAAAACACCTAATTAACACAGTAGAAGATGAAAAATCATTTTGATGTTTAGAAATACCATATACAAAGGTCATTATCCTCAGTATTGACTGTTTCACACCAACAGACTACCATTTAAAGTATACAAGTCTTGATTATATTTGAAGTGTAATACGTGTAGAAGGTCCTATCAGTTTGGAAGTGTTTTAGGAATGATGAAAGTATTCATCAATAAAGTTCGCTTAAATTTAAAATTGTCGAAATATCTTCCGAATAAAGTACTAGATTCATTTTTTTATTTTCTTGATTATATCAATGAATGTTGATTACATATTCAAAGAATATAAACTCATATATCGGATATATCTGAGCACCACCCATCATGGTTGAACAAGGGACAAATTAGAACTATAAAGAGCCCCATACTTGCACACTTAGTTGACACAAGACATCAAGTGGATACTAGAAAAGCTTTCAAGATCATCCATCAGATTCCAATTAACTTACCTCATGGATTACGCACTCGATTACTTCACATAGCAGAGGCGATTGCAATCCACGTTTACAAACCTAGTCTTTGTATTCATAAGAAGTATGTTCGACCACTTTCATTACCATGGCCGTCAACATGATGTAACTTCTAGGTTTATTTTGAGCACCTCTTCCCCTTCTTGTTTCTATCAATATTCATATTTCCTATTTTAGTAACTCTATTGATTATTTACATCATTATTTCTGAAACATCACCATGTGATTGGTAATTTGATTAACCTTTAAAACTACGTATTGGTATACAGCCCAAGATGAAGATCTAATTGAAAAGAAATATATTTCTTCACTCAATCAGTCTTTTTCTAAATGAAGTTTTGTTAGGTTTTCTTCGTAATATACTAGGATCAATGTGTCGAAACTTTAATCTCACTACCAATTGGTATAATTGGTCAACTTAACCATATGACATTTAACTTTAAGGAAAAAGTTGTTTATCTCAAAATATAGATTTAAAGAAATTGAACCATTTATGAAAACTAAGCTTGTTTGTATCTAGAATAAGAAAAGCTTCCGATAAGCGACTGTCAGCAATTGCTTTAATCTCTAGTAGTATGACTGTTATCAAAAAGAGTCTACAAATAACTATGTAAGTTGTCTGATGTATAGAAAACACCTACGCAGAGTTGTTTTCATTCTAACAACATTTTGCTATATCTTTTTCTCCCTTTTCCTCTATCCTTTTCATAGGATAATATAACTGAGAAGGATAGATGGAAGGTACACAAATCGATGCTGTGTTGTCTCCTAGTTTTAGTGTACACAATTTACATGGAAAGTTGAAGCCTCCAGAGATGGAATACAGGAGACGCATACCTAGATTATGAGACTGAAGATTATTTATCGATCAATTAGCGAAAAAGTATTCTATTTCTCCTTTTTTTTATCAAACCAAGAAAATCAGCCAATCATTTTCCTCTAAATAATATTTATTTTTTATTGTAAGTGATGCTAGAAAAGCTAAGACTATTTCAAAACTATAGAGAGTATGCCTAGACATGTAGCTTAAATCTTATAGTTTAAATCAAAACGAATAGTATATATCCTTTTGCTTATATAACATTTAAGGTGTAAACATGAAGGTGGACTATACTGGTATTAAAAAATCTCCTAATCAATGAGTCTACCTGTAATGAATAAATTTTTATCATGTACAACGTTAACCTTTTTCGTATGATAACCCGCATTATTATTATTATTATTTATTTATATTTCATAGAAGTAGATCAACTTATATTATCTCAAAAATCATAACTTATGCATAAGATATTGGTGGAAGAAATTATTGACTAAAAATTATTCAAGATGTATATAATAAATTACTTAAAAGATCAAAATTTAAATTGGAAATTTACAACATTTCCTGGACTATGGCAATTTAAAACTGTTGAATCATCATTTTCTGGATTAGTATTTAATCATCCAAGACCAGTGGATTTCATTAGATCTCAAGTATGTATTCTGTTTAAATGTATCAGATAATTTGTTTAAATAGTAATCATTTTGAGTTATTATTATTATTTGTCCCTTGGGTTCCTAGTGGAACATATGGCTTCAGTAGCACGTCTCCATTCCACTCTCTTCTCTACAATCTTTTCAATCTGCCTCCACGACTAACCACAAGCTCTCATTTCTTCCCCACACCATCTCCTACATGTCACCCTCACCTCAGCACTGACGCCCAACTCGCCGTTTCCTATACGGGTTCCACTCGAGTGCCTAGCCTGATGCGGGATGTCCCCAGTCGGCCTTCTCAGTGCATGCCTAATCCAATCCATCTCCACTTCCTTCCACCACATATTTGTTGAGCAACAGGTTGTTGGTTGGTTCATTGCCAGCCAGCCAGCCAGCCAGCCAGCCAGCCAGCCACAGTGACTTCCTTGTTGCTTATTCTCATTATTCTGACCATGTGATCTTCAGTATCGAGTGAGCGTAGGTGGCAGTTGTTGATGGATATCTGCAGTTTGTTGGAAATCCTTTTTCGTAACACGCCAAGCCTCTCAACCATCACATAGAAGCACTGAATACTTGACGTTGGTGTTGAAAATACAGATCTTGTTCACACTTTATGCTCAGTGCAGAAGATCTCCACACTGATTTCAGGCTAATGAATGCCTGTCTTGCTTTTCCGATCCTGACTGCTTTGACGTCCTCGTTTGTGCCGCCACCTGTAGTTGAAACACTGCTGCCTAGATAGGTGAACGAGACTACTTCCTTCAGGTTTCTCCCGTTGATGGTGATTGGAGTTTGTTGATGTTGTTGTTGTTGGTGGTGGTGGTGGTGGTGTTGGTTGGGTATCTTCATCACCTCTGTCTTCTGTGTATTCACTTAAAGTTCTGTCTTCGCTGCCTCACCTCTTCTGTCAACTTGTTGGACTTTGCCTGTAGATTTTCAAGTTTGTGTGACATCAGACACAAGTCATCGGTGAAATCCAAATCTTCTAGGTTCTTTTCTCCGGTCCAGCCACTGTACCCCCCTCTTCTCGCTCCCCACTGGTTGTTGCATGATCCAGTCGACCATTTGAGTGATTATACTAAAATTGAAAATTACTTTTTATGGGTAAGTAGTTTATACAGAATTTCAAAACAATATTATGTTGATATCAGGTTGTTTAGCACAGTGACTAAAGATTTCTGAATAGATCAGACTATTCATATTTATGTGTAGAACGAGTAGGTGTTCCAATAAATTGCTTTCTAATCGGTGATTTGAAGAGCTTTATTTGTGAGAATAGTTTTTTATTACCAGTCCGTATCATCAAAAGATTGAGTCGAATCGAAGAGGTATCTGTTTAACACCAGACTAGTACATACTTGTATACACACTTCAAAGAAGTGTTCTAATAAGGACTTCTTAACTTACTTCCTGGATGAAAATGAAAATGGATAACTTCTAGCATAGTTAGGTCACTAAGTAACGGCTTTCTAACCATGACTATCAGTGATAACCTGTCAGTCAAGAAATTCCAGAGTCTCAGTTGCAAATCTACATATTTTACGCTTTACCTAGATGCTAAACGAGGTTCTATACTATATTAGTCACTACTGTTGCATGTTACCAGTTACCCAACCTAATCCCTGAAAAATTTGTACAAAGCAAGAAGAGACTTAAAGTTATGATAAATAGTGGCTAACAGTTGAATCCAGAAGATGCGTTTCATTCGATTTGGGACTCGTCAGCTGGACGTATCTGCTTCCCAATGAGTCATGTTGTTCCCAATAAGCCTCGAATCTGAGATCGATCACTTCATTGTTAACAGATAGAGAAGAAATACCAGAAAATTCAAGTACGATTCTCAACAAAGCTGACATTAAAGTGGCATTTAAGCCTACGAATTCACTCAGAGACAAGCTTTATCGGCTTAAGGATCCAAAAAATGCAATTCAGCCAAATAGTCTAATCTGCCGAATTTCATACAATGACTGTGAAGTCAAGTACATAGGTCAAACGAGCCGATCAACATTAGTTAGATTAGAGGAATATAAGAATTTATCCAAAGAAAGAATTAAACATCTTAATAGGGTTAATAATGTAGAACAAAATCCCCGGCTACTGCAATACGTACATTAACACACAACCACACTATAGGGTGGGATAAAACCACCGTGCTTAAGTCAAATATGATTAGGTGGAGAGAGAGATTGATCACTGAATCTTTCTTCATTGAATCAACACCCAACACATGTAACAAGAATGATGCAACACCTCTACCAGAACTAAAAGAAATGAGATGTCGAAAGGAGTGTGATTACATTGATATAATTATGACTAATGCTTTATGCTCGAAACGTCATCAAGTAAATAATCCTGCATCACTGTGTTCTGTATCAGATAAAGAAATCTAATATGAGGAACATAAGGAAAGATGAATATATCTGACAAGTATTCTGATGTATTACTTAGTTGCATGCAGTCGACATGATGCCTCTGATCCGGATTTTGCACTTCCCAACACTCTTCAGTAAGAGTTATCCGTAACCTCCATAGATCTGGTGTCCCATCTGATATTGTGAATCATGTCAACCAGTCAGAACTGCAGTCACAGACGTTACCAAAGTTCTTCTGACTGCAGTCGACATGCTGCAGAAATAGATCATATGCATTGACTCAGAGCTGGAGAGTGACCGATTTCATGTTGACTGAAATTTCATTCATCATTTTCACATTGTGGTCACCAGGCTATGAGACTCATCATCAGACTCTCCTTTGGATTGATGTTGGTTGGTTGGAGGCAGTTACTATCAAGTTCATAATTTAAGACTTTAGAACGTTTATCAGATGTAAGAATAACTATCGTAATGTTTTGTCATAGTACTTTCAAAATTCTGATATACTTGGATAATAAAATAATTTTCTTTTTCGAATGACATTCAGATAAGTGGTCAGCTATGTTATCGAACTTAACTTTAATCCAAAGGGCTTAAATTAGTTAATTCAATAACTTTTTAGAGCCGAAATCTCACGAAGACATTATGCACTTTACTATTGAACATTATATTTCCAAATCCTTAGGTAATATGGTAGCAGTTTTGAAATTATAAATGAACTCTCGCTGAAAAATGTAAGCTGTGATGCTTAAAATGGATTCGAGTTTTTAGAAAATCACTTTTTACTGTTTCATCGATTGTCTCTACTCTACGGACTTAGGGTGTGATTTATTCCACAACTATGATCTGTTATTTGATTACTGAAACAATTAATTACAGTTGACAATCAGTTAGTGTAAATCACTGTTTCGTTAGTTGAATAGTTTTCACAGTGATATTTCAATGGTGCTTTATTTAAGACCAAGCATACACTTTGAGTTTAAAGAGGAGACATAATCTTCACTCGGATAAGAGTAAAACATAGACACTATGGTAGCGTATAATTCCATCTAATGTCACCACCATACATATAAAGTAGATTGGAATGTTCCTAATCTCATCTACTCCCAATTGTCCACACATGTTTCTGCTATCACTGAGTATACTGGAGATCCCATCCCATGTGAATGACACATTAGCTGTGTTGTAATCGGAACATATTCAAAGTTTTTCCACACACATTTACTGAATAATAGATACAGTTCAATTGACTTATGAATTAGAAAATCAAGAAGGAGAATTGCTTATGTCAGATTGCAAAGTCAAGAGGACAGAAAATGGTAATTTAAATGCCAGTGTTTACAGGAAACTAAGACATTCCAACAAATACTTGGATACTGATTCGTCTCATCCTACATCTGTCAAGGTAAAATATTTAGGTATCTGAGCTTGAAGTCTGACTGGCAAGTCGGAAAAGATAATTGAGGAACTGATCATAACTGCCCTCTGAAATTCATTAAACCATTTATGAGGAAGGATAAGAGAAGAAGTGGCAATGTTAGTGTTGATGACAACAAATCCTTTGTAATTTTGTCATAAAAAAAGGCGAATCTTTAGTTTTACACAGAATTCTTAACAGTGATGATTTTAGGGTGACATTTAAACCCTCAGACTCAACTAGAGAGAAACTTTATAGGTTAAGAGATAAAGTAGAGTGAATTAAACAACGTAACCTAAACTATCGAATACCATGTAGTGTCTGTAGAGCCAAGAATGTAGGTTAAAGTAACGGATTTGGGTCAGTAAAGCACAGACCATACTGAAACAAGTAATTCAGAGAGAAACTTGGCTATCGCTGTACGTACACTGACTCACAATCTCACTATAGTATGGGATAGGGTGATACTTCGAAAATTCAATATAATCAGGTGAAGAGAGAGAGATTACAGGATCTTTTTTCATCCAGTCAACGCCTGACACATGCAACACGAATGATTTATCACATACTGCAGACAACTGGAAAACCTTACTACCACTGAAATAAAGGAATGAGGTACACTTCTACTGTGTAAGTAAAGTTTAAAGTTATATGAAGACATCGATATGATTATGAGCAATAAATTCTTCCAGAAATGTCATCCAGTAATAAATAATGCTGCATCGCTGTGCCCCTGTGTCAAATAAGTAATCTAATACATAATTAGACTCTACCAAAGTGCTCAATAATCAAAGTTAGCAAAAATGCAATGTAAATTATTTTCATCACTCGACAACATCAACTCATCGAGCATCAGTCTGCTTCGAGGTGACAAAAGTTTCATGACATTTCTATAGATTAAACTTACCGAAGAAATTTTCGCATACTTTAGAAAACCTTCTGAATTTCTTTCTTTAAAGCTTACCAAGAGGATCTGCAATGTCTTGTCTTTCTTGTGATGACCAATCTGAGGTCAGGAAAGTTTATATGTGCATCTGAATTGGATAATAATTTATAAAATGACCATACACAACTAGTAGGAAATAAGAAGCCGGTTGGAAACCTTTAAACCTTCAATAGTATTCAAATGACTTTAGTTCTTTAGCCTTGCTAAAGTAACTCCATCTCCTAATGGGAAACCAGAATCTGATGCTAACTTGCCCTGTCATTCCCTGTACCCTGTATGATCATTTTATCTGTTATTGTATAGTTCTAGTGAAAGTATACTTCTAGTGATTTGACTGGTCGCCCAAATCAACCAAAGATTTTACTATTCCATTCTTCTTTAATATGATGAAACAGTTTCTTGTGTTAATCTTCACCACAAATTGATATCAGACAAATAATTTTTCAATGTGAATATGGGTGTGAATACGCCCAAAAAGCAGAGTTCCGGTTGACTTCGTGGTTAGTGACGTGTTCGTCAGCTCGAAGTAGGCACGGTCTTATGTCCATTGACTACTATGAAGGATTTCATCCCATCTACTTGATGTCCCGTCTCATATAAGTGAAGAGCTTTTGAGCTGCTGAACAAGGATGGACCTCTCGAACGTAGATCTTTTGGCACCTTCTCGACAATCCTGGTAGATAACTGCCTCTCTCTTCTTCATACATACTTGCTAACATTTGTGAATTGGTAAGTACAACTGGGGATGGTAAGAGTTGGCACTTAGTCGAATGTGGATTGTGTAATTGTACATGTTGTTTGGTACAGTGAGACAAGTCCTAGGTCCTAAACAGTTAACTCCTAATTCGTCTGTTGATTCTTCTCACAACATCCCCTCCCTTGTTAAACAAATGATTTTTGAAAAAAACACCAAGTTAGTCAGTTAATGGTAATCTCCTTCAGTTTTTTAAAAACTCAAAACTCAACTTCTACAGTTTCAAATTTATGCAATATATTTTCACAGAAAGATTTCAAAGTTTTTATTGTTCTCAATTTAATTGTTTTAGTGGAATTGCTTTGCACCGAAATACTTCACAGTGTATCGTGTACTATTGGCAATTATTCTATTTGCATGGATGATATGGGATATAACAAGAGAAACAGTGAAATATTTTCATCATATTGGATATACTTGGTTTACTTATGCAACTAATTGGACATTTATGGTATTTGTATTCATTCACATAATATTGGCTATCTGTTGTCTGATTTACAATATAAAATGTAAGTCAGTGTACGCTTATTTGTTAAAGTATAGTAGTCATTATTAAAGTTTGTGATTAGGCTCGCTTGTACTCATCAAAGAGGTGGGGAAATTCACATTTTACCTGAGATACTATCGAAGTGGAGCAATTCGACAGATAGCTGTCATACAAGAAGTGATCTTTTCCCAGTGGGCTAGTGAAAAGCGATTTGGCATTTGAAGTGACAGGCACAGGGTTCGAGCCCCGTTGGGAACGACACCACTCAGGTTACAGTTATATCCAGCTGAGAAGTCCCAAATGGGACGAAAATTGCGTCCTGGATTTTATTGATAGTCAACTAGATGAATACAACATCTCGAAAATCTCAGTTGAGCATTTGAAACTGCTGTACGGGTTTCCTATAGGTCCCAACTGATTCTTCAGACAAGTGAACCGAGTACATGTACTGTCATCACTTGTCGGTGTAATATCTCATGAAGCTAAACAAAAACTACACCTGGCGTTTTTAAGCGTGAAAAGTAGTGTTTGTCTCTTTTATGTGATAGCTAAGAAATACTACTTGGTGTTCTAAGTGAAACTGAGACCACGTTAATAATCGAACGCGGTAAGTCATTTCCTGTGATATCAGTTCAGTTCGTGGATTTGCTTGGTGAGGGCCAGTAGTGAAACCCAGGGCGCTCGGTTCATCTGGTTTGGGACTCATTAGCTGTATGTACCTGCACCTTACTGAGTGATGTTGTTCGCACTGGGACTCGAACCCGGCAACCATCACTTCAAGTGCTAAAGCGTGATCTCCTAGGTTACTGGGGTACAAGGGCCACCTCTTGTGCAACGGCTATCAGTTGTTGTCTGGTGATTGTAATTCCCCCTTTGCTGTATAGGGTCAGATTGCTTGATCAATGTTACCCATGGGCCCCTGTGCGATTGGCTCAATATTGCCTGATTATTGACCACGTTGCAAATAATCTGGTAGTAGTTGGTATTCCGATCCAAGACACGAGTTGCTTCCTGTTTGGGTCCCGTCAGCTGAATGGCGGTATCAGACCACCCTCAAAGGAGACCATATGCCAACAGGGTTCAACCGTTTTGGTCTAGTGCAATATTGGGAAATTACGAGTATCAGAGAATATCAATTTGTAGATATTAGAATGCTAAATATCAGGTAGGTGATATGAGTTCAGCTGACAGATTGATTTTTATTTCATCTGCATTTACCTTCATCTAACTGAATATACGTTAGTTCGATAGAAAAGGATACTTAACACATTGGTGACTAGCTTCGGCAGGGAATTCCTGAAGTTCCAATGAGAAGTCGTGACCAGTGTAGCTAACCAAGTTGAATATGAGCAGGGTTACTCAACAACAACATTGGATGTAGGTAGGTAAACTAACAGATGTAACAAATATGGACCACTGGATTTCGATCCAGTGGCTCAATGGTAACGTGGTTGACACGGAAACTGAAGGTTCAGGGTTTAATGCCTGGTGTGGCAGGGTGATGATGAGGAGGAGTTCCATACTAGGAAGCAACGGCTTTCCAGTGCTCTCAAGTTTCCAATGTCCCTCCAACTGATACTAGTCCATGATAAATTCCAACCTAAAATCAATTAATAAATCTCCACAAACCTCCAGATAGAACAACTGATAAATGTTTCGTTGGTTTTTTTGATGTTATTTGGGAATTTTCTTTTGTTTTCCTATGTACATCAGTATCATTTGAAAATGTGTTTTCATAAATTTACTACTGGAGGATAACAAACTTGAGCAATACTTACCAATCTAAGTAACCTTGCTTGTTACTCTGCCTTTTTAAAAATTATTTTTAACGTTTATAAGCATTTTGAAATGTTCCAGGATGTAAATTATGTTTGTATATTGATATGTATAACCTTGCTTTCTTATTATCATGCCTAACTAACTACTTCCATAGATGAAACAATTAGTACAGTCTGAACAAAAACATTATGTATACATACGATTGTACAGCTTAGTGAATGAAGTCACGGAAAAAAAGTCTCTTCACCAAACTCCATATTGTCCTTTTATTTACATGTCTTGATGCTGATTCCTTTTTTGAAAATTTCATGTTGTCTACAATTCTTATTTTATAAGGTTACTGATTTCCAAAGGTTGAATAATAACTAGATGTAAATAGATTGAAGTTATATTCTTTTTTTCGTTGAACAGGAAATATTTTGGTTAGATAAGCGATTAAGGCGTCAGTTTCGAACTGAATATTCTACTTTTTTGTGTACAGATTCTCTACACTATGGTTAGATTTAATGTTGAATAATGAATACTTTATTACTATTATCATTATTTGTCCCTTGGGTTCCTGGTGGAATAAAGGGCTTCAGTAGCACGTCTCCTTTCCACTCTCTTCTCTACAATCTTCTCAACCTGGCTCCTTGAATGCCATAAGCTTTCATTTCTTCCCCACACCATCTCCTTCATGTCATCCTTGGACACCCAACTCGCCGTTTCCCATACGGGTTCCACTCGAGTGCCTAGCCTGACGCGTGATGTCCCCAAACCGTAATCTCAGTGTATATCCAGTCCAATCCACCTCCACTTCCTTCTGCATATTTGGAATATTCTACAGTAGTCTCATTATATAATGGTAATGTTATGAGCATGCGATACGCGAAAATGAAAAAAAGCCATACCGACTTCTTTGTATATCAAATAATTTAACGATGATTTATGCTACGTTACATAAAACACATAGAGAGTACAATCTTATTATTTCACCAGCCTTATGATATATACTGAGGCTCAATGATACTGGTGGAATACCGTCAAAGAGTTGAGGAGTCGATTTTATACCTTAGCTCTGATTTGAACGGTTCTTTCGTTAACGAATAAAATTTTGACTCCCAGCTTGTGATGATAGGTGAAAACAACTGGGTTGCGTAAGTGGCAAATATTCTACTACTAGTGAAGATACTGATTAGCACAGCATTTGTATGAATAATTTCATTAAAACTATGGTATACCCATTATATAAGAAGTGACCACCATAACTCACTGGTCTAATGGATAGCGCTCTGGCATTTGAAGTGACTGGTCCTGGGTTTCAGTCCTATTGAGAAAAACACTTACTAGGATACAAGTATGACCAACTTAAGAGGCCCAAACAGAACGAAATGCACGTACAAGATTCCATTACTAGCCATTATCTGTCGTTATGAATCAAAAAACTTATCTACCATCTGTTCCCACTAAAATAACTAGGACTAGATACGCTGGACTGCGGAAAAGAACCTAGAAGATCTGGATTTCGCCAGTGATGACTTGTGCCTGATGTCACATAAACTTGAAGATCTACAGGCGAAAACTAACAAGTTGACAGAGGAGGCAGCGAAGATGGGACTTCAAGTGAATATAGAGAAGACAGAGGTGATGAAGATACCCAACCAACACCACCATCAACAACAACAACAACAAACTCCAATCACCGTCAACGGGAGGAACTTAAAGGAAGTAACCTCCTTCACTTATCTAGGAAGCACTGTTTCAACTACAGGCGGGACAGACGAGGATGTCAAAGTCAGAATCGGAAAAGCAAGACAGGTGTTCATTAGCCTGAAACCAGTGTGGAGATCTTCTGCACTCCGCTCAGCATGTGGAACAAGATCCGGATTTTCAACACCAACGTCAAGTCAGTGCTTCTGTTTGGTGGATGAGAGACTTGGCGTGTTACGAAAGGCATTTCCAATAAACTACAGACATTCATCAACAACTGCTTACGCTGGCTCGCTACTGAAGATCAGATGGATTGCCAGAAAGAATAAGCAACAAGGAGCTCTGGAACGAACCAACCAGGAACCTATCACGCAACAAATATGCAGGAGGAAGTGGAGATGGATTGGGCATGCACTGAGAAGGCCGACGGGGGACATCACGCGTCATGCCCTGGAGTGGAATCCCCATGGGAAGCAACGAGTTGGACGTCCGAGGGTGACATGGAGGAGATCGTGGGGAGAGGAAATGAGAGCTTGTGGGCTGTCGTGGAACCAGGTTCAAAAGATCTCAGAGAACAGAGGTCACTGGAGGCGTGCTACTGAAGCCCTATGTTCCATTAGGAACCCAAGGGAATAATAATAATAATAATATAATAAGATTGTTTTCTGAGAATTTGTCAATTTCAAGGATATCGGCACCAATGATTAACATAACCTAGAGTAACATTTAAATTCCTTATAAAAAAATACCTTGAATAAAACACATTTCTTTTCAGTCTGTGCTCTTTAAAACATTAGGTTCCCTTGATGAATTAACATGACATAATAAGAATACTAGAGTTACCTCAACAATGTGATGTATATGTGGTATATTTTGAGCATTCTGATCATTAATTTATGAGCTGAAACACAATATATATTCCGAAGAATTATTAGTAAGACACGTGGAAATTTCTAAAGATTGTAACTGTTCAGTGTACTCGGAGCTTTGAGACTTGTTGCTGAACGTTACATCACTGGACTATTTGACTTCATTAGCATTTATTTCATCTAGATGTCAAGATTCTTAGATTGAATCAATGATATATGAAGTCAACCAAGTTGGGTATGAGAACAATGGCTCATCAATAGTACTAAATGGTGGTCATGATATATGACGAAATGATAGATGTAGAAAAATGTGCGTCATAAGATTATAGCATAATAACTGAAATTAACTTAATCACAGGTAGACTTGACAGCCAAGGGTCCAAGTTCTCGTAGTATTCCGGATATGAACTGCTGATTGACTCTAGAGTAGGATAGGAAATCAGCAATATAAGGCCAAATGACCATTTAAACACGTGACTGAACACAACTGTCAAAGGATTCCATAAATTTTAATACAAACATATTTTGAACCACTACTGGGACAGTCCAAAGAATATGCATTTCTAGTTGACATAAAAAAACCGTTTATTTTGTCTGTCTGTTGAATCTGTTTTACTTGTTACTTAAGTCACTGTTTTGAGCATAAACTACAGATACCTAAATCTTGTAAATTTCAAAAGCTAAT